CTGCGAGGAGGCTTTGCAATGCTGGGCAAGCCAAAGTCGTAACTAGCTTCCAGGGTCGCTTCGACTCTGTCTCGCCGCTACTTGCAAGTGTGCTTTGATACCGCTCGGAACTGAGCTATACTTCACAGCACACGACTCTTTCGCGTACAGCGACGACCCCCTCGCCTGTAAGTACAGGTATATCCGAGTTGCGTCTCATTACCCTAATACAGTCTATTCACGGTATTATAGTGGCCCGCGACCAAGAAGTCGACATCACGTCCCAGCTGAACCTTGGTGTCCGGCTCCTCCAGGCGCAGTCTCACGAGTGAGAGATTGGTGTCTACACGGTGATATAAGAGACTAACATCTGTTCCCTGTATTAAGGAATGATGGCGAGCTACACTTCTGCCATACTAGTAAGTCTACATTCTCATATGCCCCTGAGGTAAACGATGCTAATCAATCATCCCAGGCTGCGTAAGTCCTAGTCCGGCATAACAGCCTGCTCTTTTTCCACAACTGAGCTCCCACCAGCTCCTCTTCGACGGCGGCACCGTCGAGGACTACCTGAAGACCGTCAAGGCTTGGCTGGACGCCAACCCGAACGAAGTCCTCACCTTCGTCTTCACCAACCCCGAGGGCCTGTCCATCAAGGACCAGTGGGACCCCGCCTTCCAGAACTCGGGCGTTGCTGACCTCGCGTACGTGCCGCCCAGCACGCCCGTCAAGCAGAGCGACTGGCCGACGCTCGGCGAGCTCATCAGCTCGGGGAAGCGCGTGGTCGTGTTCATGGACGCGGGTGCGGACGATGGGTCGACGGTTCCGTACATCCTGTCGGAGTTCCCCAACGTGCGTATACATGTGTGAACTTGGGACATGCCTGACGAGCGTGACTACTGTAGGTCTGGGAGACCCCGTTCAGCGTGACCGACTCGAGCTTCCCGTGCTCCGTCGACCGCACTAGCGGGCCGCTCCCCAACGACGAGCACTTGTACATGATCAACCACTCGCTCAACAAGAACGTGCTTGACACGGGCATCATCGTCAGTGACCCCGCTGACGCGCCCACCACCAACGGCGTCCCTTCGTACGTTATGCCCTTCCGTTCTGCACGCCGATTAATTGATGCGACTGTGTCGGACAGGATCCTCGCTAACGCGTACGGCTGCACCCAATTCGCGGACGGACGCGCGCCGAACTTCCTCTTGCTGGACTTTGTGGACAAGGGCGAGCCGTTCAAGGCTGCTGACATTCTTAACGGGTTCGCGTAGGTCGGGTATAAGCACGAGTAAATTATCTATATCTGCCGCTGTTACGATGGACGAACCGTTTGAGAATGGCTGTACCGCGCAGGCAGATCTTGCGCAATGATTTCACAATAACACTCAGAGCACCTCATGGGGTGTCTTAGGAATCGTCAAGCAGGTTATCGTGTGAGGAGCGATGAGCTCAAGCCTCGGAGGAGATATATGAGATTGAAACACAAGCAGAGGTTATACAACGCTGAAGTACAAGACGGGTATAACGTTGGAAAGGGTATACAATCTATACTCCAAAGAGCTTAACCACCTAAATGTATAATAGATAGGAGATATCCAAGGAAGTAGATGGTAGAAGCGGAACAAAGCAGAGGAACGACTAGAGCTACAGCGATGAGCGTAGGATACCCAGCAGATTAAGAACGCAGACAATTTGAAACGTTAGTACATCCGACCTGAACGTGTTTTGTGAGAGCCTATCCTCGAGGTGGTTTCCCGAACTCGAGAAGCGGTAGCAACGGCCTTTCTACCGCGAGATCGCTGACTCGCAGCGTTCTTAGGACCCGGTGGTTTGGGAGCCTTCGCAGGACGAGGCGCTGCCTTCTTTGGCGGTCGGACACGGGGCTTCTTGCTGACCGATGCTTGAGGCTCGTCCTCTTCTTCTGCCTCCAGAGGCAACTGTTTTCGTTTCTGGCTAGCGGCTGCAAGTGGCCCTGCCTTTCGGATTCGGATTTGCTTGGACGGACGTGCGACGTCTTCTTCGGAATCATCGTCATCGAGCTCTTCCACCCTGCGTTTCTGCGAGGGACCAGGCTTTGGGGCTTGCTTGCTCTCGTCGGGCCCCTCGGCCCTCGACTGGTGGAGAGAGAGAGCGATGGCTTTATTTTGCTTCACACTTGTCCGATCAAGCATCTTGAAAACACGGGGTCCATCATTCGCTTCGTCCGGCCAGCCCTCCGAGTCCAGAGCTTCCTGGATTGTGAACACGACTCGGTCGTGAGTGAGCAGGTCCAGCTCGTGTTGGGCATATCTTGACCTGTCAGGGCGGTAGTGACTGAGGACCAGATCGCCGAGCCGACGGAGACAAACCGTCAAAGGAGCATTGCCGATGATCTCCAAGGTTTTGAGGATGGTTTCCAGAAAGTCCTTGCGGATCGCAAAGATATTTTCAATGTTGTCATATAACCTCGGCAGTTGTTCGGCCCCAGCAATTTTCTTTCCGCCCTTGGTGTAGTAGCAGCTGGTGTGCCGG